TGAAGATCATGACATTGTCACATCTCGTAAACCCTTCCTATAATATCTCCTTCGAGGCTAAAGAACCTCCATAAAACTGTGACTCAATTCGTATATATTTGTAGCAACAAAGACTCTCTGTTGCACTTTCTCAAGTCTGGTGCGTGCAATGCATATTTCACATTTTTCGATTCCAAATGATGTGTGAAGGTCAAGACGAAATTTGAGAGATAGTTCATGGTGGGGAATTCTATATGTGTGTGTAAGTGTGTGTGTGTCTGCGCGCGTTACATGAAAAGAATTATACACATTGTGTGAGGTAAAGGGACAGTGCTAGAAATAGATGTGAACTATGTTGACGTGTCGACTTGGCACACCGTACATCTACTTACTAAGGGGACACCAGCTGCTACTAATTACAAATATATTGGTTACGACAAGGGAGAGTTGCCTTTCTATTTGATTTGTTGATATTGAATTCGAATACCTTGCCGAATTTGGAAGAAGAATTAATTTGAAAAGGTGGTGAAAATTGGTCAAGTAAGTGAATCATGGACGATAGGGACTGCACTTCGGAGGGGTGTGTCGACTATGATGCACAAACACGATCGCCACCATTAGTGATATGGACAAGCAGAAGGGCAGTTCCACCGCCAGCTACATTACCTTACAATGCACTTTACACAGCTCTATACCCCGCAAACCACGATAGTGGTGAACAAATAGCGACCGCAGAGGTATCCGATAGTTCTATCGAGGGTTCCTCATTCAGATCTTGGAACACACAAACGTCTTCCTTCGGTGTACTTCATGATTCTCGGCTGAACAGCGTTGCTGACAACGTCAAAGACCCCCGACCAGAAATCCAGAGGGCGAAAGATACAAAGCCCAGTGAGGCTCCAACCACAGCTGTCTTAAACCCATGTTTGGATCCCATGACATTGGCAATGGACGACGATCACTGTACGCGAGACAACAGTAAAGCAACTGTAAACTATTCCGTTCCCGTTTCCGATCACTACACAGGCAGTGGGAACGTAACGTTAAACACGGAGTATAGCAATTTCTCAAGCAATGCAGGCAATGTTAACGTTAACGGAGGCCACAGTGTACATATTACCGGATATGTGCCAGTGTCTTCCCAAGTGACTAGCTTACCTGAGGATCCCAAGAATCACAATCGTGAAAGGATCAACAATCATCACACCTCTGAGCCGTTTTCTGAGGCAGTTTGTCAACTTCAAACTAACCATCGTCAACCAGAAACGTCACTCTGCGAGGAAACCGGGAAGTCACCTGATCGCCAGCATGATCCACTAGATCGTGGACATTCACATCCTGGAGAAAAAACGGATAAACGTAAGCATTGCGATAAATTCTTATCTACTCAGTCTTGCGTCACATCTCATGAATGTCCACATCCTGAAGAGAAATCGCTCGATTGTAACTTGTGTGATAAAACGTTCAATAGGCGATGTGATCTTACCCGTCATGGACGAGTTCACTCTGGAGAGAACCCGTTTCGGTGTAAATACTGCGCCAAGCCGTTCTGTGACAAATCCGATCGAAATGTTCATGAACGTATACATACCGGGGAGAAGCCGTTCAGGTGTGGTTACTGTGATGAAATGTTTCCCCGTAATACCCAACTTAGAGTTCATGTACGTAGCCATACTGGAGAGAGACCATATAAGTGTAAATCGTGCGAGAAGTCATTCACTACGAAATCAAAGCTCACCGTGCATCGACGCATCCATACTGGACAGAGACCACACAAGTGTAACTTGTGTGACAAGTCATTCACGACGAAATCAAACCTCACAGTGCATCAACGTATCCATACTGGTGAGAAACCATACAAGTGTAAAGTATGTGGCAAAGACTTCCGAGCAATGTCAACTCTCACAAATCATCAACGAACCCACACTTCTGAGAGAACCTGATCAAGTGTCAGCTATCGTGACAAGTCTTTCAATGTGAAAAACAACATGGAAGACCATGCAAATACATACACTGTAAAACAGAAAGATTGTTTTCAAGATTGTTGAAAGTGCTACTCATAGGCCCGTTTCGAACCGCAAGTAGAATAAAATCAATGTCGCTTAAAGCCCGATCCGTTATCCATGCAAAGGTCTCTACTTACATGCTAACTTCAACATTATGTTCCGTCCAAACCATTATCATTGCCATTATACTCCGAGTGATATCCACTATTTCATTTCTTGTTTTCCATTGCACTTCTTACAGAAAAGGAACGTGTTTCCATATTTACCTTAACACTCAATTGTGCATAACGTTATAGTACTTTTTTGTTGAATAAAATTATTAATTAGTCATGCTATATAACCGAAACCTACTGATGGAGCACGCATGCCTGGTACGGATCTTTTCGCTGGATTTCGCTGGAAGAGGTCCACTACTGTTTTCATGTTCGCACATGATGCTAAAATCTTATTCATGTATGAACTCTTGGTCCCATGTGTCATCCTGTATAGTAACGATCTACTTCTTATCAAAACTATTCGAATACTATCTCACTGTCCATTTGTTTGCTGAAAATGTGTAAACGGGAAATTTGACTGTCACCACCAGAACTCAAACTAGTGACCCATTCATATGGCCAGCGATGCTCCCTCTTGATAGCTGAGAACGTTAAACATATCTTACTCCACTGCATCAGAGTGAGGTTGATAGGTTGACCACTAGAGTCACAGTTAGGATGCACCGCCGGAGCTGGATGTGCCAAATGCCAAATGCAATAGAGAAGATGGTATTTGTGATGCTTATCATAGCGGGACAAAGCCAGGTTGTCGCAACTCAGGGTTTCTCGCTCTAGAATGAGTTTCATGATCATTAGTTTCCAAATTATGGTTACCTATAATGGGCATTCTCACTCTCTTAGTATTGACTCCCATTGATTTTCGCTATACCTAAGCAGTCAAATATTCCTGCATATTTCACTCCTTAGGGCTATATTGACTGCTTATATTTGACTGCTTAGGGGTTTCGCAGTTGAACGGTGCCTAGTGCAGCATTGTCGTTGCATGAGTAGGTGGTGGTGCAGCGGTTGTGCAGTCATAAAACCGGGATTCATGAGGTTATCGCTCTGGAATTTGAAATACGGACTGTTTGTCGTGATAAATCTAATAATGACTGAGCACGAGGTCAATATAGGAAATAAAAGCCTTGTGAAAGACCGAGGCATATAACAATCTTGTGGCAAGAAACTAGAATTTTTCCATTGCTATATTTGGAATAAGTTTGAGCTATTACGACACAAGAAATACAGGATATGATATGTTTTCCACGAGGAGCTGACCTTCCTTTCTGTATGATTGGGTGCATTTCATTCCCTGCGAGGACACTATTATTGACTATATTTGGACTCATAGCTGTGCGATAGGAATAATTTTCGTTACTCTAACTGCAATGTAAGGTAAAAGAGAATCTCTTCAACAGTCCTAAAAATTTAATCGGTGCGACACATTCCTGACCCGGCTTTTCCAAGACCATTGCTCACAGATCTAGGGCTGCACAACGCGCAGATCCTACTTCAGTGACTGGATCGTCTACACAGAGTCATAGTGCCTACTCCTCCACACCTTTCCGTGCACTGAAGTGTCACTGAAGCCGGGACAGAACAAGAACGCATCCATACTAGAGATATGCCTATATTGGAGATATGCCTTTTCAGTGTGCGGAATGTTCGAAATCTTTGGCCAAGCACTCCAACCTAATAGTCCAAGAAAGAATCCATCCTCTTAGAGAAACTCATCAGGTAACAGCGCTGGTGACAAATCCATCAAAGCGAAAACAGAATTTGAAGACCATGCAAATACTAACAGCCAAAGGTTTTTCCAGATGTTTTATTTAGGTCTCCATGCAAATTTCACTGCTTACATGCTGACGTCAACACATGTAACATCAATAACATTATCATAATCATTGTATTCCAGTTGATATCTACAGTTTCGTTCCTTGTTATTCATTGCACTTCTTACACAGTAGGAGTGTGTTTACAAATTAACTATGCAAAAAAAACAATTAATTAATTGCGATACGCTGGGCTGTTTGGGATTTCACACGTGATGCAAATATTTTAGTTCCTTTGTTACTCTATGTAACTTTGATCCCATTATTAATTTTAACATTGTATAGTCTCGTTCTAGTCCTTGTGAATCTTGTCACATTATACCAGGCTCTTCAAAGACCCTACATAATTATTATTATTATTATTATCATTATATTCACATGAGGTGAAAACGCTTCGATACAACGATGTCCCATTCAATATCTAACGCCAAGGTGTCTCACATTGACACCATCCCACGTCAGGAGTTGAAGAGTCAGCATGAAGTGTAAGTCTCAGCTTTCGTGATACCAACACAAGCTCTAAGGTGAAGAGAACATAACAAGGATAACGTGTATGTGTGTGTGTGTGTGTGTGTGTGTGTGTGTGTGTGTGTGTGTGTGTGTGTGTGTGTGTGTGTGTGTGTGTGTGTGTGTGTGTGTGTGTGAGTGTGTGTGTGTGTGTGTGTCAGCCTGTGTATGTAAACCTGTATGCGTGTAGGTGCTTATGAGTATGCTCAGGATATGATAAGATTGCCATGTGTCAGTTGATTATAGAGTTCATAAATAGATGTTTGACGTGACGAATTAGCAGAATGTTCCTCGGGAAACACAAATGCTACTGATTATAAAACCTACATCCTAGGGCGAGTTCTTGCTATTTGAATTATTGGCACTGACGTCGGACACGTGTTGTGCTTGGAAGGAAAATTACAGTTTTGAGACTTTGTGTTGTACGTGAATCATGGATAATTGTGAATGGAATTCGGCGAGTAGCGTGGACTCTGATGTACTCTCATCACTGCCACCACTAGTCATATGGACCAGCAGAAGGTCTACTGCGTGTCCTCCACCGCCAAATATAGCAGCATCCTACGGCTCATCTTATGGAGCACATAACCACCCAAATGCTGAAAGCGGCAATCAAGCGACCTCTGAATTCTTCTACGGATATAATCCTCCTCTGCGTTCCTCATTCAGCTCTTGCAACACTCCAATATCTACCTCCGATGCCCTTCAAGATCATCGTTTCATGGAGGATGTGGCAGACAAGTTCAGGGAGCAACTACCAGAGTTCCAGAGTAACAACAAAACAAACGCTACTATTGTTTCGACAACAGCTATCGTAAACCCAAGCTCAAATCCCATGACACCGGCAGTGGACACTGACAAAAGATCGCAAGACAACGGTAACCAAACTGTTAACCATCCCGTCTCCGTTTCATATCACTACACAGGCCATGGGCACGTAGCGTATGACTCGGAAGGTGGCAATTACTCAAGCAAGTCTGCCGATGTGGACGTTCACATTATCGGACGTATTCCAGTATCTCTTCTTTCGTCCAGCTTATCTGAAGATCCCAAACATCACGATCGTAAAACGTTCAACAATATGCACACCTCTGAGTCGTTTTCGAAGGAAGTTTGTCAACTTCAAATTGACATTACTCAGCCTGAACCGTTGCTCAGCAAGGAAACAGATACGTCACTCGATCGCCAGAGTGACACACTGGATCGTGCGCATTCACAACCTGGAGAAAAGCCGCTTAAATGTAAGCAATGCGATAAATCATTTTCTGCTCAATCTTGTTTAATAACATCTGATGAATGTACACATCCAGAAGAAAAATTGTTAAAGTGTAAAGTGTGCGATAAAACCTTCAATAGGCGAGCTAAGCTTACCAGTCATGGACGTGTTCACTCAGGAGAGAAACCCTTTACGTGCAAGCACTGCGATAAGTCATTCAGTGACAAATCCAATCGTACTGCTCACGAACGTATCCATACAGGGGAGAAACGGTTTCAGTGTCATTACTGTGGTCAAGGTTTTTCCGCCAGTTCCAGCCTTAGATCTCATTTACGTACACATACTGGAGAGAAGCCATTTCAGTGTAAATTATGTGGCAAGGCATTTAGACAATTACCACATCTCACAAGTCATCAACGCATCCATTCTGGAGAGAAACCATTTCAGTGTAAATTATGTGGCAAGGCATTCAGACAATTACCACATCTCACAAGTCATCAACGCATCCATTCTGGAGAGAAACCATTTTCGTGTAATGTATGTGGAAAGTCATTCAATCGGAAATCCAGCAAAACAGCTCATGCACGAATCCATTCCTAACAGCAAGGGATCATGTGTGAACGATCGGGACAAGTCTTTCATTGCCAAACCACACTTTTCAAGACCTTGAAAATACAAACACCCTCTAAACAAAAGCTTTTCCAAAATGATCTTAAATCTGACTTCTAATACCGGTTTTAACCGGGGTAAATTCAATGCCAATGACAGACAGATCTGAACTCTACTCCTTGGTAACTGCTTACGTACACGCTGATTTCACCCATACTAATAACTACCATCACAAACAATATCTTGTATCATTGTCTTCCCGTTGATATTGTACTGTTTCATTCCATGTTGTCCTTTGCACGTCTCACACAGACGGAACGCATTTTCCATTGTTGATAAACCTGTCCTATTGAATGTCGCAAACAAGTATAATACTTCTAGAGCACGTACGCATTGCTCTGCTGTTTTCAAGGCCGCGTATAAAGCTATAATTATATTCGGTCTTGCTCCCATGTATAATATTGTTTTGTCTTGTTCTAGTCTTTGTCAAAACTCCTCAAATCTTGTAATACTATCTCAAAGTTCATGTGCTTAGTGGAAATGGACGAAAGGTAAAATTGACTTTCACCACCAGGACTCGAACCCTGACACTGATAATAAGCAGCAATGCTCTAACACTAAGCTATGGCTTACAGGTCATCCAAGCGGCGACCATTCAACACTTTCTTCTGACTTTCACCCTCAAGCTTCCTGTGAATTCGCACTGGCTGGTGGGACGGAGTTCTCACTCCAACCCACACACTTCCCGCACTATGTAGCACGAGGGAAGCCCCAACATACAAAGTATTCATTCGTTCGAGGGGAAGGTGACAAGGGGAAAGGCCTGACGAACAAAATTGACTGTCACCACCATGACTCGCAACAGGGAGCCTCTCTAAAGACGTGAGACAAATCTTACTCCACAGCATGAAATCAGTGTGAGGTTCAGCAATCGACTATTTGAGTCACAGGAAGTGATGCGCCTTCGCAGCCATTTTGACGCATTTATCACAACTACCAGAGAGCCAGATACTCGACCCGGCAGATCTGTCTTACACACAACAAAGTGTACCGTGTAGTCAGTTGAAACTCGGAGTACAGGAAAAAGATCCTGTCAAAAACGATCGTCAGTGCCTAGAGCGTGTTCGCACTGTACACATATCGCAGTTTTTAGCACAAAACTTGAAATATCATGAAATTCCCACGAAACCTGGCAAGTCCGACATGATTATCCCACCTGCGAGGTATTACCACAAATTAAGTTCTTCAAATACCAGCACAGGTGCCCAAATCAGAGGTGACTACCTTTCCCAAGAGGTGTTTTAATACAGTACGTGAGAACAATATTTATTTGAAGAAATCCAATTTGTCATCACCCATAGAGTTCACAATCATTATACAGCATGCTTGAAGATATCGTCTATTTCTGTTGAATAAAACTTATAATCTCACTGGTACCCGAATTTCCACACAGTGGCACAAGTCCGTCATTAATATCTCACCTGTGAGGGGTAAGCAAACTTTGCGCAGCTAATTTTCCATCCCATGTACCCAAATAGGACGTGATCATCCTTCCTCACATTTTGTTACCACAGTAGTGAGAACTGTATTTATGTGAACAGATCCAGCTTGTCATCACTCATAGAGCTTGCACTCATTATTCAGCAAGCTTGAAGATATCGTCTGTTGCTAACTTTGGCCGTGCTCTTGACTGTTCAATTGGTCAACCTAGAAGACGGTCGAGTTCCGTTAACAATTGAGCATGATGCGGACTGGACGTCTGAGAGCAGTTTGGATTCAGATGAATTATCAGTGTTGCCACCATTAGTGATAATAATATAATAGTTACAGTTCGCATGTCACTCATGGAAGGATCCATGGGCTTAACGCATCTGTCAACGAAATCCAGGCAGAAGAGCCGACAAAAGGCATCTCATTATTGTTAGAACGTATCGCAGTAAGAACAACTACGCAAGCGCAGCACATTTTTCCACAAGCATCAGCCATTCTTTCTTGTCTAGAGCCAGTTCAAAACAGTCAGAAATATCAATATTGGCGTGCTTTAGATCACTTTTAATATTGTCAATCCATCTGAGATGGGGTCGGCCACGTGGGCGCTTGATGTCCCGGGTATTAATTGCCATCTCCAGTGCTTGGTAGGACGCTGAGTTACGTCCTTCGCGAACAACATGGCCCAGCCAGAGCAGCCGACGTCTGCGACAGGTAGTGCTGACTGGGCCTTGTCGCGTTGAGGCGTACACCTTGGCATTCGACATGTGGTGAGGGTACACCACACCAAGCAGGTACCGCAATTTTCTGCGGTGCCATGCGTCCAGCCGATTACTGAGTTGCTGTGTCAGGGCCCACAGTCCGCAGTTATACAACAGGATAGGCAAAATGAGGGCAGAGAACATACAAAGTCTGGAGCTCAGTTTATGACGCTTCCACGAAATGGAGCCGAACGCTCTATTCGCAGCACCTATTCTTGCCTGAATATCCTCTGCGGACCCCAACAAAGAGCCAAGCAGCTTGACAGATCGCCAAGAGGAGTCGGCTTTAGTTACTGTAATATATTGTGTTTTCTGAATATTTAACATTAGGTTATCTTCTTTGAATTTTTCACTTGATTTCTCCACAATCTCCTCGACTTCTCGCCTCTCCGTGTCATGGATTGTTGTGTCGTCTGCATATTGGGTGGTTGGTGCTGGTAAAGATAAGTGCGATAGTATAGGATCAAGGTGGCGCATGGCTCCCTCAGCATACACATTGTACATGGTGGGAGACAGCGGATCCCCCTGCACTACTCCGATATTTGTAGCAAACGCTTTGCCTAAATGAGAACTGAGTTTCACTCTCACCGTCGTGTCCGAGATCAGAGTGGCAACGACATCAGTGGCAGCTCCAGAGTCTGAAAATCGCGCCAATGCCTTCTCACGGACAATGGTATCAAATGCTCCGCTGAAGTCTAATAGTGCGGCAGAGTATTTCCAGTCACCGAGTAGTGCACGTTCGCACATGACACGCGTATAGAAAACTCCGTCAGCCGTGGAGCGTCCGGGTGTAAAGCCTGCCTGACTTTCACGTACATATGAGGTGGTAGATTGTTGTGAACGCATGGTGATGATGCGGGTCAGCACCTTGCGAACAACTGATAGCAGCATGACCGGTCTGTAACTTTTCGGTGCACCCATAGGTTTTCCTCGTTTGTATACTGGCACCAGAAGGCCACATCTAAGGTCAGGTGGGCAATAGTGGAGTTCCTTAATGGAGTTGAATAGGGTAGTCAGCCATGGAGTAATGACAGTCGAAGCCGTACGTAGCAGTGCCGCACTGATCCCATCACACCCAACAGCGCCTCCGATTTTCTGGTGCATGATGGCCTTCCTAATCTCTTCAGAGGTAAATGGTTCGTCTTTCGCCTTACTGTTAGGCTGTGCCGGGAAAAGCGTTGGCTGGTCGCTCCGGTAAAACACTGATGCGAAATACTTGCTGAATTCCTCCAAATTCCAGGAAGCAGAAGTGATATGGACAAGTAAAAAGCCATTGCCATTGTCATGTTTCGTATCACCATGGTGTGCCAAGTGTCGCGCGTCACCACGCTGCGATCGATCATGGAAATAACATAGTGACTTCTGAAACGTCTTCTGTGGATTATCCACAACGGCATAGCTCGATATCTAGGCTGGACAATTCACAGCACGGCTATTCTCCAGTAGATTTCTTTCTGCTTCCTAAGCCAGTCGTCTTCGCTACACCACGTAGCGAAGTCCAGAGCAAGAACCAAAAAGATGCTGAAGCTTCAGCATCAGCTTCTTGCAACACTGACTTGGAGCCGTCAACGTCAACAGGCAGAATGCTAAAACGATATCTCCCCACATCTATTCCACAAGTCAGCTCTTCCCTAACTGGTCCAGACCACTACGCCGCTCCAGAAGGGACACGTGGCTCGCCTAATGACGAATCGTCCATCTATTCTGTTGACTTTGACATGAATCAACAGAGTATAGGTAATAGTAGCGATAATTCGGTATCTCCCCAATGCACTGGTGAACTTGTATCTGAAAAACCACACAAACCGACTGGAGGAAACTTGGTGAAATGTAAGCTGTGTGGAAGGGCATTCTCTAACCAGTCTAGTCTTACTAGATAATGAACGCACGCATCACAACCAGAAACGTTTCAAGTGCAAGAAGTTTGAAAAGTCATTCAGTTACAATTGGGGACTAAAACTTCATGAACGTACGCACTCTGGAGAGAAACCATACAAGTGTAAGGTTTACGCAAAGTCGTTCAGCCAAAGTTCCAATCTTTTGCGTCATCAACGTATCCACACTGGAGAGAAGCCATTCAAATGTGCACACTGTTGCAAGTCTTTCACGGAGTTAAAAAACCTTCAAGACCACCAGAGTACTCACACGGGACATAGGCGGCATGTATGTAATGGTTGTGCCTGGGAATTTTATTCTGCATCCAGTTTGAGACGTCATAAGAATAATGGAATTTGCAAACGATAACACCCTAATTCTTCTGCATCTCTCATTTTCTCTACTATTCTCAAATCCTTATCCTCTTTTGTAACTGCTCCTAATCGCTTTCTTATAGCCATATGCTGGTATCTGTTTTGTTATAGATTAGAGCTCTTCGTTATCCGTCTTATCCGAACTTTATTTTCAAATTTTTAATAGGATTGCGTTGCCTCTTTTCGCGTATATAAATAATAATAATAATAATAACAGCTCGCATGTACTCCATGGGTAAGATCACCCATGGGGCTAACGCATCTGTCGGCAAAAAAGCTAGAGAAAACGAGAAACACATGACATACAAACTGCTAGAGAGAATAGTGTACGACCGCTTGTACGACCATATCTCCCCTGTTCTTCACCCCGCACAATCTGGCTTCCGCCGTAAGGACAACACATCCCTGCAATTGTCCCGCATAATCCAAGACCTCTGCTCCCTAAAAGACCAGCGGCAGGTTTCCTGCATCTGTTTCTTCGACCTCTCCAAGGCCTTCGACACCGTGTGGCACAAGGGCCTGATCGCCAAACTTCGTGCCCATGGTGTCTCCGGCTCCCTACTCGCCTGGATAACTAGCTACCTCTTGGACCGACATCAATGCGTCACAGTAAATGGAACCTTATCTGACCCCGAGTCTGTGACATCCGGAGTGCCCCAGGGCTCCATTTTAGGTCCCCTGCTCTTCCTCACATACGTTAATGACCTCCCCTATTCAATTCCCAATATTTCTTTGTTTGCAGATGATACCACTGTCCTTGCTTCCTCCCCATCTCACGCCACCCTGTACCCCAAAGTTCAGACCTGTATCAACGACATTGTTCACTGGATGAGCACTTGGTACCTTAAGCCAAATGTGACCAAAA